CTCCATTGAGTAACCGTCCTGGTGGATAATTCTGTAGAAGAAGAATCACAAATTTAGACGGGGAGGGAATCCAACATGTGAGGAAAAGGAAAGAAAAGAAACTCACTTCATCTGTTTGACAATTGTGCTCTTGCCCGACTCTCCAGCACCTACAGAATTGACAGAGTTTAATTTGAGATTGTTCGTGAAGAAGAACACATCACAACAATTGCACAGTATAAATATGGCCAAAATATGATAAATATTTATGAAAAAATGAAAAAAATATGAAAAAAACAATTTGGGTGTTCAGATCACTCACACACAAAATAACATGCTGCAAGTAATCTGAGAATAAACGCAAAACTAGATATTTTTAATTAGTATTAGATTCAGATTAAGATTCATTTATTTGCCATTTGCAGTAAAACCACATTGGAAAAACTGTGCAAGACTACCCCAGTGTGCCCCAGACAGAGAGGACGGCACACACCAGAGCTCTTGCCACGGCGCCATCTTTAGGGCATCATGAAAATTATTAACGACTTTTATTTACATGGAGCAGAGTGTTGGCAACGATCTCCTGCCAATCCCAGAAGTAAAAAACAAATATACTGTACATTTGTTTATAGGATGCAATTAAACTTCCATCCATTGAAGTCAAGCAAGTAAATCTCTCTGTCTCTTTTTCTCTCCCCCGCTCTCTATCTCTCTATATATATTTATAACTTTACGACATATATATACATATTTTTAGTGTGACAATACATAGTTAAATGACCGTTCTTCATATCAGATTTGAACTTGACATGACCAGTCTAATCTTGTTTAATCCTGTGGCACTGTCTATGACCTAATTACTGGCTGTGTTCTGAACATATATCGGTCCACAATAGCTTTGGAAGTTTGGCTCCTGTGCGTGCGTGTGTGGTATTTGACACTTTTAGGTGAAACTTTTATCACTTGTGTGTCCTTGAGTGATAAACTCTTTGTGTTGACGCTGTTGTTTCAGGATTAACCTGGATTAATGCCACTGTTTGAAGAAGAAGAGTTAAACCTGTTCAAACAAAACAGCTTTTATCAGCCCCTGTGTCACATTTTAGGAACTTTTTATGCTCAACAAAACAAAGAACATTGAGCACATATGGCAGCATTCTGGATTATGTTCTGACGACTTCAAACAGAGGTTTGTGAATTTAGGTGACCACACATCGATCCAGAGAAGTCATTTGCAAAATCTTGTGTTATTTGCAATGATTTTCTTGATCTAGGACTGAAGAGGTAATATGGTAATGGAGGAGATGAATATATGCTTTGCAATGTTTAATAGAGTGAGTGTGTGTGTGTGTGTGTGTGTGTGTTTGTGTGTAAAAGCCCTTTTCACAAAACGAATAATCAATATAATGATTATCAGTGTTACCTAGCAGCAGGAGTTTGACCGTCCTGGCGTCTTTGTCTGCATCTTCCTTGAGTTTCTTCTCCAGCTCCCGAGAGCGTTTTTCCTCGGCGCTCGCCCCTGCACCCATCCTGACTCCCCCGCTTTAGGCCTTGGTCCCCCAAAAGAACAAAACAAAAACAAGAAATCAGGGAAACCTCTCAATGGCCCAGAGTGTGCCAGAGGGGGCTGCAGACTCGATTGACCAGTGGAGAGTGTGTGCTGAACTTAGGAACGGATTTGGGGGATCCTGTGTCCACCTGACCCAGAGGACCAATGGAGGACAAGGACGGCAGAGAGAAGGCCCAGGACAGGGCTCACCTTTAGGAGATGCTGCGCTCAGCGGAAGATGCGGCTCAAACACTAATCTGCAAAGGCCCTCAAACCTGCCTTCAGCTGCAGACACTACTGGACCATTCACCAGTATCACCAGTATCTCCAGTATCAGCAGCATCATCAGTATTACCAGTATCACCAGTGTCTCCAGTATCACCAGTATCACCATTACCATCAATTTCACCAGTAAAACCAGTATCACCAGTGTCCTAGTGCAACTGACCAGCAACCAGGATTGTAAAGCTTTTTTTTTATTCTGGGGAATGGCGACGCAGAAATGCAATAATAAAGGGAATGTTAATGAATGTATGATTTACTTTTTTACTGATACTTATTCTTTATTTTAATAATTACTTTATTACCAGCGATATAAGTACCATATATGGAGGGCCTCATATCATGGCACTAAGGGCCACAATTGGCCCGCGGGTCGGACTTTGGACATGACTGTTCTATGAATGTGTATTACTGAGTGTGATTTTTTTTTTGCTTTCAGAATTATGCTTTTAGAATTTGTTCTTGAAATCATCTTGCGTCCATACAAATCCTGACCCTCACTTTGAGAACCACTGGATTAACCTAAAAATATAGTGTGAAATTGATTGACTCTAAATTTAGAAAATAGTTGCACTGCAGAAGATTTGTCATAAGAGGCTCTCCTATTCCTGGCTCTACCTCTGAACTGCAGCAGGATAAAAGGCCAGATATAGAGTCCAGAGGAACAGACACATCAGACTCTCATGCAGAGCTTTTATTTCAGATGGATAATGTGCGGCTTAAAGAGATTTGCAGTTTCACCTGACACATCTCACTGACCTCAATCTGGACCTGGTTAAGGATCCTAATCCAATCACTTTTAATTATATACAAGTTGTGCGCTGCCCAGTGAGTGAACCTCCATAATGAGGAATATTGTACATGTTGAATGATGATTGTTTGTGAGATTTGTGTCTTCCTTGTTGCCTCTGGGTCAAGCACTGCTTATGAAAATGACGCTCTATTTCAAACTCTTACTTGGAATCAAGACTGAATAGAAGAAAACATTCTAGGAGCATCAATAGAGACAGACAAGTGGCAGTCACTCTACCCACACTGAAAACAAGTGATTAAAAAGAAGCCAAATGTTGCTCAAATTTGGCTAATTAATTATTGTAAGTTGTTTAATCTGAGAACATTTGATTTAAAACAAGACTTGCCAATGAGACGAGCAAAATTAAGCAACTTTAAATACGGTTAAATGGCTTGTCAGAAATGTTGTGCAAATTTGAAATTGATACTCTAACAAGTTGCGTAGGGTTTTTACAAGACAATTATTTCACTTAATGAACCACTGTCCACCTAACTCAACAATTTTGGAGGTCAATTTGGAACATGTCACCCTAAGTGAAGCTTTACCTCAAAGAAGAGTGTTCAAACATCAGCCACTAGAGGGCGGAATATTTTTTGGTTCAATGTTGTCAAGACTTAAAGGAGCAATATTGGTACTGTATTTGGTACTGTACTGCAACCTCTCCCACTCTCCCTCACTCAAGTTGCCAGTAATGCAGACAAATCCCATGGGAACATATTAGCTGAATATATAGTTTTTTCAACAACAAATCTATAACCAACATCTTTTTCACAAAGGCATCCCCAATAGAAATCCTTGTTTTGGTCATTATAGATTTGAGAATCATAACAAGACCTTTTTTAGTTCTGTGGCCACATGTTACTTTACCAGTGAGATTAGCTTGAATCTCTCAAAGATTTAGGGGCTGTAAAACTAATTTTGAAATAAAAATATCTCGTATTGGAAAAGAGCATGGTTTATTAATGCCTTTTGACAGATTAGGGCCATTAAATGATGACTTGACATTAAAATCTTACATATTGCTACTTTAATGCTTTGAACTGCCATGGCTCGAGAAAAGAAACGACTCCTGAGCTAAAAGCCAGATTTCCCATGATAAAATTAGCAACATTTCTGTCGTTTTGCATTATTATCGCACCATCATCAGAAACCCATGTTATTATAAAATATAGAGCTTTAATTTATTAGTTGTCAACATTTATGGAGGAAGTTTACAATTTACAAGTACAATAACATCCACTGTGCATGTTCAGATACATCGCTCAAAAGAATGGAGAAAAGACCGGACCAGAGTAATGCTTGAGAGGAGACACACAGAAAATAAAGAAGGAAAACATGACGTGAAATCCAACCTCTCCAAATTTCTGACCATAAAAGGTGATTCTAGCACCACGATGAAATTAGACATTCACAAAGAGCCACAGCAACATTAGACGAGTACCATTTACATACACTGTACATGCCATGCACAAAATAAAGTTACAATCGGCTACATTTCTCCTTAGCTTTTTAGTGGTTGTGCTTGAAGTTCTTTCATGAGCTCTTATTTTGGAAACTAAAATTGCAAAATCGCTATAAATGACCTTTTGAATTATGGCTGGGAATGCAAACGTTGACACAATGAGCTAAAAGAGAAACTATTGTTGAGAGTGAAGCTAGAAATGACGACAAAATATGTGTTTTAGCGGTCACATTTAGCTGCCGGTCGGAGAAGCTAATCCATAAAAAAAACAAAACATTGAAACAAAATGTGATATTGTAAGACCCTTTTCCAAAACAGCTTATCACGACAGTCACAGGGATACAAGATGCCTTATTAACATATAAACAAAACAGCATTGGAGATTGGAAGCTAGTAGTTATGTGATCGCTCAGTGGTGGGGCTACTAAACTGAACGCCGGTGAGCTTATGTCTGTCCGTATTGTCCAAGCTGCCGCATCCAGGCATTTGGAAATGTCTCTTGAAGGGCAGCCTTGTGCTCTGAACGTGGCGTATGCAGTAGAAATAGTTTTTTTTGTCTTTTCTATAACAAGGAAGTATCTGAAATTCACCTTAAAAATGACATGGCTCCGGCTTAAGAGACTGAATACTGCCAGCAGTCAAAAAAGTCCACCTTTTCGCGTAAATTCCTCTCAGATGCACTATAGCTTTGTCCCATAAACATCAAACATGAACATTTCTCAACATAATGCACATTAAGAACACTAATATATAACAACCATATTTGCACAAGTACCTATTCACAAAACATCTCTCTAGATAACAAAGATTTACTTTTTACAGCATACAATAAATATGTGTTTGTGCTGTTTGGTTTCAGTCTCTCTTGTCCAACGCTTTTTGTCTCTCGAGTCCCTTGTGTGCGGAGGTGGGAAGTACAGTAGCAGTGTTGAAAACGCTCATGTTAACGGAGCCGCGGTCGTCTCCCCGTCGTGGTGCCGGCGATTACGTGGTTTTCTCTGTTCTTTAAACTCCTTCAATCCTTTCGCTTTGATGACGGGACTTTCGCTGAGTCCGCTGTCTCCGAGCTGCCAGTAGTCCTGACAGTACTGGTTGATGAGTCCCATCTCGGGCTGGCTAAGGATGGTGAGCAGGTCTTTGTACTGACCCGCGCTGGGAGTCCACGCGCTGGACTGGAGGGGGGGCAACGCGGGACTGCCGGTCTCCACCAGCACGTTGTTGACGGTGCGTCCGGACATGACCACCAGCTGCAGCTTGACCAGCGTGTGCTTGAAGTTCTTCTCGGTGGACGTGCACTGGTAGATGCCGCTGTCGGATGCCTGCAGGGAGCGGATCAACAGCCCATGCTCCGTCTTCAGGGTGCGGCCCTCGGAGCGGATCTGGACACAAACAAATAAGACGACGCCATATATTTAGACTGGGGGTCAGAGATGCGCCAAAAATCCAAAAATGTAAGCATTGGTGCAGTTTGATGAATCGTAAATAAATCAAAAGAGACTAATTATGTGGCAGTAACAGCTTGAGAGGCTAAAAAGCCTTTTTCGATTGGAGAGCTACTTTTATAAAACAAAATAGGCAGAAATGTACTACTTTTAGCAGTCGTAATACAATTTTAGTCCAAAAAATTAGTACAGCCAATCATGGCGAACACACATGCATAATATACCATTAAACTGTGCAGTAGCCCTGCATAAATGAAAAGAGTTATAGTTCAGATACATTAAATTCTTGAATCTTTTGGGGGGCTACCTGAAAGGGGATGGCAAGAGACTGGTGGCTCCTGAGCCACAGGTTGGAGACCCCTGGGCTATAGAATAGTAACCTTCACTCATTTTGAAATTGCTTAATATTGAGCATTGTTAATGTTTAAGACAATACAAATATTGTTATTTTTGCATTGAATTGATGTGGGCTATTAAATAAACAAAATCTGAAATTGACATTTGTACCAGATCACCCATCTATAAGGGCAGCTGAAAATGAAAATGTTAGTGTAAGAAGTGTGCATAACAAACATTTTAGTTTCAGTCCACATTGTGCTAGTTTTGAGTCTGACCTCTCTCTTGCGGTCGCTGTTCTCTTTCTGCAGATGCCACTTCAGGGACATGTGAGGGGAGCGCGCCTGACACTCCAGGAACGTGGTGCTGCCCTCCACGCCGTACTGCACCGACTCCAGCGTGTTCTTATTGGCTGTGGAGCCATCACACAAATATGGATGAGATACATGTACATTTTATAACTTTTTGACTGCTCTCATTCAATTCAATGGAAATATGATAAATTGCCCCAAAAAGGTTAAGTTTTTTGACTGAAAATAAGTTTGTTGAAAGCTACCAAATGCTACCAAGTAAACATTATGTTGCTGTGGTAACCAGTACTGACGCTACTCTTCCTAGGTAAAGGAAGAATTACACTGATATCAAAGTAAAAGATAATTGAATAAAAAAAGGACATTTAAATAAACTACATTTAGAAACAGAAAAAGTCACAAATAAATGAATACCAAAAATGTACATACTTAAGAGGTATATAGGAGGATTGTTCAAAATTTTAGGACAGAACTGCTCTTTCCACTTTTTCAACAAAAATCTGGTCTTATTTGACGAGCACAAATCACCAGAATGATTGACAATTGGGAGGACCAATAGTCTTGATGATCCACCCGGAAGTAGATGATCCTCCTGTATACCTTTAAGTACATGCAGTATGCGTTGCGATAGAGATTTTATACTGCTTCTTTTTATGATAGAGTTAGATGTTTTATTTTAGTATAGAGTTATTATTCATTTATCTTGTTCTGTGTTCTCCTTTGACTGCTCAGGGAGTTCTGGTGCTATAGGAGTATTTACCGTTGGAGTTGTAGCCTCTGCACTGGCGGATGGGGTTGCCGTACTTCACGTCTTGTCGCCGACTCCGTCTAGAGCAGCGTCAGACACAGAAGAGTATGAACTTGGTCTCACATTTCCTTTCGTGCACATAGAGCCACAAACTTCCAATCGTGCGATATTATAATTTCAAGAAGTCTGATAATTGTTCTATTATGCGCGACAAGAATTTACAAAACCCAAAGAAACAGAAATGGACCATAAAATCTAATTACTGGTTTGAGTTTTTCCAAGATTTTGGTTAGAAAAAAAACTGTCCAACATTTTTGAGTGCAATTATTTGACAGTTAATCTCACTATTATCCAGAACAAACACATTTCTGAAAAGGGAAAAACTGTCTAACCGACTTGGCCTACATCTGCCACTTTAATTAACTCATTACAATATAGAGAAATGGTTATTTCTAATGCCTTTTTATATGTATGGAAAATAGATTATTGTCAAAGCTAAGTGTTATTTTTTAAGCTACGAGAAAATCACATCAGAGTATGCCGTCTTCATCTTATTAAAAACATATTCTCTTTTTAATACTTGTGATAAAGAACCCTGAGAAGCAGATCTAAATGTTTAACAAAAAAATTGGGGCTGGGATACTAAGATTAATTAATTGCACAAAGAAAACACGTTTGTGTTTTGGAAGAGTTTCGGAGGGTCGATTATACAGGAGCACCAACTAGTGTTCGGACAACACGGATGTATATACACAATTTGATTAATTATTTTCAGACAAGTCCCAGTCCTATTAAAAACATATGCCTCTGAAAACAAGTGAGACATTTTAATAGGAAAGTAAATAAGTTTGTGTTTGGAAAGTCAGGTGCCCCAGCTTTAAACAGCTGAACTGACTGACCTCTTCTGGGAGGCGGAGTAGCGTGAGCAGGATTTGCCGTCCCAGGCACAGTACGGGTCTCGGGCCAAACAGCAGTCAGCGCAGGCCTCGCCGTACACGTCACAGCGATGCAGCGCCAGGTGAGTCACGCCCTGCACCGAGCTCACGTACAGCTGTTGCTACAAAGACAATAGAACAGAACGATATTTGTCTGGAACAGCTCAAAGACACACAACAGATCGCTGTTGTGCACAAAACATCATAAAGACAATCTAACACTCAGCTAACACTCGTCTCATTGATTTAGGCCCAGATGTAAGTAATACGTGTGTCTCAACCTCATTTTGGAATACTGTTTTTTCACAAAGTTCAATTCTATTCATTTTATTCTTGTATCACCCTGAATCACGACAGTCGTTCTCTCAGGGACCAGAGAGAAGGACCAGAGACACCAGAGAGAGAGACTAGAGAGAGAGACCTGAGAGAGGGACCAGAGAGAGAGACCAGAGAGACCAAAGAGAAACCAGAGAGAGAGAACAGAGAGAGACCAGAAAGAGAGACCAGAGAGACCAGAGAGAAACCAGAGAGAGAGACCAGAGACACCAGAGAGAGAGACCAGAGAGAGAGACCAGAGAGAGAGACCAGAGAGAGAGAGACCAGAGAGAGAGACCAGAGAGAGACCAGAGAGAGAGACTAGAGAGAGACCAGAGAGAGACCAGAGAGAGAGACCAGAGAGAGAGACCAGAGAGAGAGACCAGAGACACCAGAGAGCGAGACTAGAGAGAGAGAGACCAGTGACACCAAAGAGAGAGAACAGAGAGAGATAACAGAGAGAGAGAACAGAGAGAAACCAGAGAGAGAGACCAGAGAGAGAGACCAGAGAGAGTGGTGTCTCCTCCCCCTGTTCAGACTGGTTTAGACAGACATATCCTTAAATAATTATTCTCAGATTATCCAAGCATTTCCACATTCTCCCTTCAAATCACATTGTGCAAGACTGTTTAAAATCTGAATTTTTGAGGGAATTCCATCATTAAACAGAGCCATAATCTTTAATACAACTACTACCAGTATCATCCATAAGTACTTACTCTTTTGGAGGATATCTTCATTGTGGTAATAGGAGTAGGGACCTGCAATGATGGACATGATGGTTAATTAAAGAGTATGCAATGGAAAATGCTGCAGAAAAAAAGCATGAACTGGAGTGAACCATCCAACCTTGAAGACTTCCACCTCCTCCAGCACCAGCTCCTCGGTCAGAAGATCGTCTCTGGGAAGAACTATCACTTTTTGGACTGATCCACGGTCTGAAACACAAATACTCAATTGTAATTCTGGGAACCCTAGGCAGATATTGGAGAAATGTACTCATAGACTGTAATAGTGTAGCTACTTTATGCCAGTGAGATGAAAAAGAGTGTTGTTGCACATTAAAAATAACATAACAGGACCAGGAGTGGACCATAGAAGTGACTTATGGAGCTCTGAATAGCTCAAACATCATAGTGTTGCTGTCAAAATATCAACAAATATCTCCAATATTGCAAAAGAAAATGTACAGATGATAAATATTGAGCCCAAAGTGGATCAGCTTCATTTTAGTGCAAGGTAATAGATAGATAGATCCCCCATTGTAGAAATGCAGGTATTCAATAGCAGCAGAAACACATCCCAAAATACAAACAAATAAATAATAATAAATCATTCTAAAAGTAGCTAACAATAACAGGTAGAAAATAAGCAAGGAAACTAACAATTGTAAAAGACAAAACAACAGCTGTTTCAGAGCTATTTAGAACTTGCTGCCGTTTCCAGTGCATCCAAAGGACTAAAGATATAGTATAGTATAAAAGTATACAGTAAAAGTATAGTATAGTATAGTTAATAAATGTGTATTCACCTGTTCCCAAGAAGAGCACCTCATAGTTTCCGTCTGCAGCTGTGACCTGGTCCACAGCGATGGTGGTGAACTCATAGTCCACGTTAGTCCTGACCACCAGAGGGCGCTTGTGCACTGGGTAAACCATGTTGTGCATAGTGGGGTGGTTCCTCATGAAGTTGATCACCTCATCTGGATAATCCTTTGTGGATTTCATGTTGGGGGTGAAGGTGCCTCCAGGACACTGCACACAGGAAGATACGAATCAGAAACGTCAATTTCGAAGGAGGATAATAGTTGTAAGCCTGGAAACACATATGAAGCTAAAATAATGGTGCTCTTGTATGATTCATATCTGTCTGTAAAGATGTCTGAAGGGTAATTATTAATTCATAACAGTGGTAGACATAATTAGTGACGAGCCCCAGACAAATAGATTAATGTTGCTGTGTTTAATAATGCATTAAACAGAATTATTTAGTATTTAACTTGTATCTTCAAACGGCCTATCTGAATATAGACTGAGGATTCGTCTTCCTCTCAATGTGATCCAAAGGGACAAGAACTTTCAGCAGACAAAATTCTGTATCTAATAATAATTATATTTGCACAAAGTAGCCATTATTTCTTTCAAGCATCAAACATAATCATATTTTAGTTAATTCAATTTTTTTCAAACCTCAAACGCAATTTCACATATCTTTACTCTAATACAGGTTTGAATCTAAAATATCAGTAGATAGATAGATAGATACGTTATTCTTCCTATGGAATAAATTCAGGTGTCCAGTTGTAGCAAAAACACATCCATCCACACAAACAAAACAGTATTATCTACCAACAGCAAAATGCAACAGCAGCAGAGGCGGTACAACATACAATATCAATACACATTAGATTCTGTGCGGTACATACGCCACAAAATACCCCTATCATGGTGTATTTTATATTTTTATTATACATTATTACTATTTTTTTCCATGTATTATAAGCTCCGAAAAGTCATATGAGACAGGGACAGTCTGTTGTGACCAAGCCCCGACGATCCAAGATGGCGCCCTATTCGAATGAATGGTTGTTTTTTATTTTTTTTATTTATTGATTTATTTGATAGGGACAAGTGAACACAATCAACATGTGAAACACTACAACATTTATAGCCAAGGCTAGTTTGCAATGTCCGTCCCTAGGAGGGCTTTTAACACAATTAAAACACATTATACATTCTAAAATTCACATTATACAAAAGCAGATGTTCTCCAACTCATTGATGCTCACACACCTGGTTTGTTTTAAGAAATCGCTTTAGTTCATGTTTAAAACCAGCCCAGTCAGAGTTCAGTTTTAGCTGAGGGCTTAAAGAGTTCCAGAGCTTTGCCCCCTGGACCGAGAAGACCGACTGTCCGAATGTGGTTCTCCTGAGGGGCACTTTCACATTCCCGTTAGAGGAGCCCCGTGTGACGGATCTCAGAGGAACTAAGAGTTGTGCTCAGTGGCGCTTTGTGACGGCATGGGGGCTGAAAAGATTAGCGGAAGTTGCCTGAAACTCGCAAAGATCTATGGGAAACTCGCCTGTATTTGGGCATCGTCTGATCCTCCCGGTTCTGTGCAGTGGATGATCTCCCATAATGCGTTGCGCCAAACACGTGTGTGTGGGTCTCACACCGGGTCTCACGCACGTGCACAGAGGGGCTCGGCCGCGCTCTGACCAATCAGAGCAGTTCATCAGAGCGGGAGTTAGAGCGAGAGCCAGACGAGCAGAGTTTGTGGTACTAAAGTGTGGATTTAAACAAAACCGAAGGATTTAAGAAGAAAAAAAGTTCAGGATGACAAGGGACACTAAAATCCCCACAAAATCCGACCTTTATTAAAGCTGTAGGTTCTCTGTCAGCTGAGGTTGAGCTGTTTTAATTTGCATTGAGTTCTATGGGGAAAATTTCTGGGTAGCCCACGTGAATTTAGTCTGGTTCAGTCTGCAGTACCGCGAGAATCCCCCGAGCACATGGGTTATTCAGCTACAAGCTAGTAATACCCTATCCAGTTATTATAATAGATCCATGGTTGTGACGCTGTAACTGAAGCCCTGTACTCACAGTTCCTGGGCGAGGGTACGGGATCTTCCCACTGTAAGCCACCCACTGGTAGTTGGGTCCCTCTTTGTGTGCGAAGGGTCCGTTGAAAACCATCCTGATGTCAGCCATGGAGTAGACACAGACTGCGGATCCTTTGAACACAGCCCTGCAGGAGAAATGCAGCAGATAATTACTGTGACTGTACTTCCTACTCATTAAACTGTATACTGTAGTGTTCAGGCTGTCGTGTAGGAAGTGCAGTCACACACAGCTCCAGGACTGAGACTGGCTGTCCAACACGCACACGAACGGACACACAACACACAAACACAAACATAAAAACGGACACACAACACACACAGCTGTACACGCACAAACAGACACACAACATGTACATCCACACACACAGCTATACATGCACAAACAGACACACAACAGGTATATGCACACACAGCTATACACAAACAGACACACAACATGTACATCCACACACACAGCTGTACACGCACATACAGACACACAACATGTACATCCACACGTCGCTGAACACGCACATACAGACACACATGTATTTGCACACATACAAACACACACAGGCATACACATAGACACAGGCACACATACACGTACACACACACACACAGGCGCGCACACACACACACACACACACACACACACACACACACACACACACACACACACACACACACACACACACACAGGCACACAAACAGTCACACCCACAGGTACACACAGACACACACTATCCCCAAAGCCCTGTCATTAACACATTCTGCTGTTTTAACACTGGTGTCTTGTACCATGGTCGTTAGTGAAGTGAATGTATATTTCTCACACAATCATAGATTAATTATTTACATGGCACACACAAGTGGCATAAAAAAGTCCATATTTTAGTCGATCGTAAAAGTGCACTGAAACCTTCCTCCTTGTGGGATAATTCCAGAGTCCTCTTATCATTTTTACCCCAAATAAAAGTACAAAAAGTGTGTTCAGGTTATATGTATTATCTTTCAAGAACATGAGATGGATTCGCCCAAACCTATTTTTTGTGTCTGACCCTATTCTTTCTCACAATCGACGTCTCATGACATGTGGCGAGCTTGCTTTGGCAAAATAAAAAATAAAATAAAAACGAGAAATTGCACAGAGATGTCTCGACTTGACTTGAAAGCTCGAGAAGACTTTTGATCAGACTCGGTCAATACTAAACGGCTCAAGAAAACACCTTTTCCCGGAATGACCAACGTTCTCCGCTGATGATAAATTTGACACACCGTATTCTCACCCGAGTATATTTATTCCAAGCACATAGATCAAACCCTGCACCCCCCTCTAGACCGCACTCCCTCTTCTTTGACTCCGTAGCTTGGATCTGACAGGCCAAAAAACACATTTCAATATCAGAGGAGAGATGTCTGTTTGAGGTTTGGGGAGACGGCCGTGAAATACAGGAGTGAGCCCAAATATATACAGTACTTTGAATTTGGCTTTTTCACAAAGTTGGATGAAGATGTCAAGAGTCTTACCCAGAGACAGAGAAGACGCCGTAGATGACTGGGTTCCTCGTGTCCTGGGTTGGTTGGATGTAGACGTCCCCTAAAAGAAAAGGGAGAGCTTATTGTTTTTTGATATTTTTTATTACTGAACAGATTAGAACAGTAGCACCACTGTCCTATCAAAAAATTACAAAACAAATGGTGAAAAGTAATAGCGATTCTGCAGAAGTCAAAGCCATTATTTGAATTATAATCCCCACTGATGTCAGACTGTACAAAAACTCACTTTAAGTCACTAATGCACTAAAAACAGACTGAAAAAACAGAACTGCTATTGCCAGAGATCAATGAAGTCTATCTTATCTTATGAATACATTTTAATCGACCTGAACAAAGTAAATATGCAATCCATGCGACAGGGTTATACATACACAGTAGAGATCTAGCTCATTACTTTGCTCTTCAAACATCAGATATAAACCAACTCGGGCTACAATCGACCAATTACTACATTATCTGACCCAAACTGCACTCACTAAAAAGTCAAACCTACAAAAAAAGCAACCCTTGAGGCATAAATCACTTAAATATGAAATGATTCATCGACAATACTGATTAAACATGTGAAGGGTGTTTAATTAATACATTAAGGCAAGGCAAGGCAAGGCAAGTTTATTTGTATAGCACAATTCATACACAAGGCAATTCAAAGTGCTGAACAGAACAAGAAAGCATTAAAATCATAAATAATCACAGTACATAAAAAAAAAAAGATAAAAATATAAAATCCCTCAGTTGTATGCACAGCTAAACAGAACCGTCTTTAACCTGGTTTTAAACATTGTCAGAGAGAGAGTAAGAGTTTGAAAATCAGACATCTTTTCTCCTTTTTGGCTAAACATGAAAGTATGTAGCTTATATTCAAGTAAGGCCTATTTGCATGTTCTCCCCATGTCTGCATAGGTTTCCTCCGGGTGCTCCAGTTTCCCCTACTGCTAAAAATATCTACAATACAATAATAATTATTATTATTAAAATACAATCTACAGGTCTGAATGTAATGAGTAAGTGTTGGTTTGGGGCATTGATGCACTAGTGTGTTTGGAATCTCGTTTCCGTCCTCACCGTGTGGAGAGAATGGAAAAAAATGTGTTCTTTGGGTGACATTGGTCTGTAAAATGCACTGTATAAATAAACATTATTACTAAACATTACTATGCACACAAAATGTACTTTGTCCTCAAATTTAGCTGGTTTGTGTAAAAAAAAACAGCTAAATTTGATAATAGTACAGCAAGTAATGTATATAGAACAATTTTATAAGGGTTAGGGTTAGTGACATTCTTGGCAAGCCAGTAAGTAAGTAAGTAAGTAAATGAGTAAGTAAGTAAGTTAGAGTAAGTAAGTAAGTAATGTTTATTTATATAGCGCATTTTACAGACCAAGGTCACCCAAAGCGTTTTACAATGTTCAGAGTTCAGATATTGTTCCAATCATTCCACACACGGTGATGACGGACATAACTTAAAAGAGCCAATCAAAAGTCCATCAACTAAATCCAATCCAACACATATTCTTGGTCGCTCCTGTTATTTGATACCAAACTTATAAAGATAGATTTGAAAACAGCTTTATAATATACGTCAGAAGCAAAAGATTTCGTGTTAGTGGTGGGTGATGAGGACGGAAAGTGGCGGCTTGCATATACACGAGCGAGCTCTGAAAGTTTCCCATAATGCACCTGTTTCCAGCCCGCAGAGGAAATGTTCATGTGACATCGAAGTGCATTACAAGGGCCTCCACGGGACCCGCAATGTAAATACGAGCGATGCTTAAAACTACAGTCCCTGAACTCAGCGGGGAATACACGTGAAATTATGTGAAATGGAATCTCTGGTGAAGCATGGTTTTAATACGAGCCATGTGTCGTAAAGACTGGACGGCCAAGGCTGAGACAATCGAGCTGTCTGCATTTTAATGATTTAGAGGAGAAAAGGGGGTGGGATCGTGAGTAAATAAATACGAAAAATGTGTTAGAATTAGTCGGGTTGAAATGGATTAGCCAGACCAGTCAGTCCGTATATTTCCACTCGAGAGGTCTGGAATAGGGCCGTAAGTAGCGACTTAAAATACACACAATTGGGATCTAGCCTTTTCATGTTTTCACTTTGGTCTTCAATATTAACTAATTTCTCCATTACCAAATACTGCATTATCTGACCCAACTTCTCTCACAATCAATGAAAAAAAACATCACATTCAAAGGTGATATCGAGTGTGATCTGACTTGAATATCAAAGAAAACAACAAAATCTTCTGCCATTTATAACCACTTTGTTTTATGATTGACAAATTGAAGCTGCTTTTATGAAACATGTGTCAAAAGAGAAAACCCTTGGAAATATTACGGCATAAATTCTCAACAAGATGCATAAATTCTGCTGCGTTTTAGTCAAAAGTGCAGGATGACAGTGTTTACTCTTCATTCTGCACAAACACATGTTCCGATACCGAATGTTTGTTTTGACACAGATGCTTTTCTTTGATTACTGAACATGGCCGGAGCGTTGAGTTTGGTTCCAGGACTAATTGTGAAGTTAGATTTGTAAATGGCGTGTTGTCTGGCCTGGCAAATGGATTACACGATTCTGATTATTAGATTAACTTTAAAAAGGGAATAATAAAGATGTAACGCATTGAAAACAGGTCCGTTTAGTCTCTGTCTGCAAACTTCCTTCGTTACTATTTATGTTAATGAATTAGGTTTACTTTTATTTGACCTTTAATTAAATACAGGAATTTGATTATAGTCGGTTTTGACATTTAGCTCTAAATACAGTTTGTCTACAGTTTGGGCACATTGAGCTTGTAGATGAAACAGTACAGGAGTGACATTGGTTTGGATCTACAAATAAACAGCAGTGGATAAAGACATATCCTAACTTTTAAAGCTGGGGTACCTAACTTTATAACCACAGCATTTGAACTATTTAAAAACATCCATCTAACTATTTACCAAAAACAGTTTACTTCTATTACAAATTTTCACATTTATGTATTGTTTTTCACAGGAAAAGTGAAAAAGAGAGGACCACCCTCACTCAGCCAATCAGCTCTCAGCTCTTTTTTACCAGGATGCAACATGTTTTCTAATTCTTATGAGCAAAAGTAAGTCAGTAAGTAATCTTTATTGATATAGCGGCTTTCACAGACCAGAGTCACAAAGCCTCCTATATACACAGGAGCAGGGTCACCACCAAGCCCCGGTGATCCAAGATGGCGCCCTATTCAAATGAATGGCTTGTGCTCAGTAGCGCATGGGACTTCACGGGCGCTGACATATCAGAGGAACTGGCCTATATTTGGGCATCGTCTGGTCCTCCCGGTTCTGTGCGGTGGACGAGCTCCCATGATGCGTTGCGCCAAACGTGCGTGTGTGGCTTTCATGCACGTGCACAGAGGGGCTCGACCGCGCTTTGACAAATCAGAGCTGCTGATCAGAGCAGTGGTAGAGCGGAGTCAGAGCGGGAAGGAAACGAGCAGAGTTTGTGGCAGTAAAGTGTGGATTTAAAGAAAACCGAAAGATTTAAGAAGAAAAAAAGTTCAGGATGACAAGGGACACTAAAATCCCCACAAAATCCGACCTTTATGAAAGCTGTAGGTTCTCTGTCAGCATGAGGTTGTGCTGGTTTAGTTTACATTGAGTTCTATGGGACTTTTTTCTGGGTAGCCCGTGTGAATTTAGTCTGCAGTACCACGGGCGCCCCCTGTGCCCATGGGTGGGACAGCTGTAAGCTAGTAATACCCTATCCAGTTTTTATTATAGATCCATGGTCACCACACAGGAGCACCTGTAGGAAACCTACGCATGAGAGAGAGCATGCAAACTCAACACAGAAAGGCCTGGAGGTGGAATCAAACCCAGGACTTTCTTGCTGTGAGGTACAAGTGCCACTAGGCCACCGTGCCGCCATTAGTCTGATCTGATAATATTTTAATTTTACAAGATTATTTATTTTGGGCAATCACAGTGTATTATTAATGAGAAATGAAAAAAGTTTTGTATCGCAGCTTTAAATATTGCTTTAGCATATGGTACCATTTTGCTAGAATGATTTAGGGTTTCTGTACTTAGCAGTGCTGGTGCTACTGCTCTTAAACAGGTACAGGTCACAACATATGGGAGAATAATATCACTTACAACGAGCAGACGTGCAACACTATACTCTGTGAAGTAACCCAGCGTGTTTGTGGAAGTAATTTGTAAAAACAGGATTCTGACAGTAAGAGCTGGACGTGACTGGAGAGGCCCCAGACTTAAACGTGGATGAGAAAAACATACTATACGCCATAGAGGGAATCAAGAAGTGGATAAACCTGCTGGTGTTTATAAATCACTGCTTTATTTGAGAGCCAGAAAAGTATTCATAACAAAAAAAGATTCTTGGAGCTTGACAGACATTTTGTCAACAAAGCGATAAAAGAACAGTTATAAATCAGAGCGGGAAATCTGAGCCTAGGATACATCTTTTTGTTTTCAAAGTGTCAGATCAAAAGCGCTGTTTTGTCTTTTATCTGTCTGTCATGAAGCACAAGGCAAACACAAAAAGATGTAGATATAAATAAAGTCGGGGAAAATATTAAGAGAATCTCGAATGTTGCAACGAGAGGATGGATTCGGTATTTCGACTGCTTTTGTCTCACTTGTTTCATCAAATCCACTTCATCTCTCTACAGCACGTTTTACAAGCCAAGTTCCACAACGCGCTGCACATAGTGAAACAACACAATCAATAAAACCGCACACCTGAATACGCACGCAGTTTCAGCATAACATTTTGAAAGCTTTGTTCTGTGGAATTTTTCTGGGTACATTTTTTAACCCAAACTGTAATCCGACAGAAAAAAAAACAATGTCTCCCTTTGAAATTCAATTCAAGAAAAGGCAATAAAAAGATGATTGCATCCACAGTCACTGCTGTTGCTTCTTGTCAGACACGCTCATCAGTCACGGTTAAAAATGTTTCTTCCTCCTCGCTCTCTGCCTTGTTTGAGCCCTATACGTGAAATATTAGTTTACAAATCAATCAGATTGTATCACGAAAGCGGCTTTTTACATTGCTGCGTGAGACTTTTTCACTGCACTCTAAATAAGCGTATGAAATGGGCTGACAGGTCAAACAGTGGGGCAGGTATTTGTTGATGGAAAAACAATTAAAGAAGATGTAGTATGCATCGTTTTTGTTTGTTCAAAATTAGAATGAGACTGTTTACTTTGTCATAGCATGTTTTAGAATGTGAAATAATATCGTTAGCAGAACATATTTGGTGAAACAAGTATTAAGGGTAAACGATGCATTCTGCCTGTTACTCCCTAAACTGCCACCAGAGGAAGCAGTTGATTTGTTTTATTTTTTTATTTTTTTTTTATCCTAAAATTATTGGCCATATACACTAGAGAAATTGCCAAGACTCATTTATGGGCTTTATTTTTTTTTATTTTTTAAAAGCATAAAACTGATTTGAGTGTGATGTCATAGTGGTATAATGACATCATACTATCACAGGACTGAGACAGGAGCTTTGAGACAAAAGGTTGGTTACATGTTTGTGCTAGAAGATCCTGATACTTGAGTGCGTGGATCTAAACTCAACGTCAGGTCTATTTCTGATGAAGAGGAATGTTGCAACATAGAGAAAATCAATAAAGTAGATTCTGTCTTTAATTAAACGGTACAATTTCTGCAAGTTCTACAATTCTGACAATGTTAAAACTAGTTTCTGTGAATTCAAGCCACTATAATCTAGATTTACTTAAAGCTGCACTAACTGACTTTGGGATTTTGAAGCCGCAGACTCGCTGGCCTCGCTCTTTCTGCTCTCCTCCCCGCACCCACGAAGCTATCGCCCCCCACACACACCCACTGTTGTTTACGGAGCTAGCGTCTCCCAATGTGGATAAATACATGGACATGGATTTGTACGTGGATGGCGTGACCATAGAACGATAGAACCGGGAAGCGCGGCGGAACGGGACTTTCTTTTGGATGGCTGTTTCGCTGTGTAAGCAGTAACCGGTGACAAAGACACACGAAGCTTCAGGTTAGCTCCTCGGCTTGTTGTGCTAACTCAGCCGTCTATGCTAACGGACCTGTAGATTTCTCACGAAAGTGGGGGCCAGTGGTCCGCTGCGATTGGTCACAATCTGCGACCCGAAACACATCTCGTCCTTGTTTCATCAAAACTCGATCTGAAATATAATGTCACGCCAGCACAAATCTGCGCTACTTTTTCTTCAAAAGGGCGTATATCCCAATGCACTGCATGGACATGGATAGCATTTTTGTAATGAATACAAAAATAAAGTCAGTTAGTGCAGCTTTAATCAAAACAACGTCTCTCTCTCTGTCTAAATTAAACAGATTGAAATGATATGTTTGAAACTGGGAGGACATTTTTCTCTTACCTAAAGGGATGTAACTGATTAATTTGCTCATAAATGTCACGATAGATAAGGATATAATTTACAGTACATAATAATGATGTTGAAACAAAGTTGCCCTGAGACGAATTCATGCCATTGCTGCGTGCAGTGCGTGGTGAGAGATTTGCTGCTCTTTCCACTAGTTCTTGTAATTTCGAAACCCAAAGAACAAATCCGCTTTTAATCTTGTCATTCAGGGAGAGAGCAGGATAATCTACAGTTGGACTGAGGCCAGCTGCTGAGGGCAAGGGGGCACACACAGTATCTTTAAACGATCTTTACAACAGTAAGATCAAAGTGTGGATTCACTAAGAGCTGAGTAACAATCGTTTTTCACATAAAACCATCTGTAACATTTTATACAATGGTCCCATGTTATCGCAAGGGTTACTAAAGAAACCGCAAAGTGGCAGCTATATGTTTTAAAGCTGTAAAACCCCTCCCCACAAACTTTATGCACATTTTTGACCACCCCAACTCCTGATTGCTGAAGTGCGATTATGGAGATTTTAAACCTGTTTGGTGGTCCGAGCGCTGCTGCAGCCGTCCAAAGCCGTGCATACACTAAAAAATACAGCTGCAATCGACACCGTGGTGAGGGGCAGGAGAAGGACTGAGGGCTAAGGACAGACCACAGCAGACCTTGGAACTATTCACTGTGGTGCACACAAGCCACAACATTTTCTTCAGACTTTAGATAAAGGTAACTGTCACGTTGAAGTATCAGTTATATGAAGTTGGAGAATAAGCACAACACATGGGAAGCAAGCTGAAAAACATGTGATAAAAAATTGCACACAAAATCTGCAAAACTGCAAGGTTGTATTTTTAGCTTCTGTCTTAGTTCATGGTCATGTAGAAGTATAAAGCATTGTTTGTATCAACTCAGCAGGACCTTAACTATGGTTTCAATGTCTCATGCTATTCAATTTTGGCAAGGCCTAGGGTTTGCCATTATAAAGGTCCAGCAAACTGTCACAAAACATAAATAATCTGATCTGTTTTTAAAGGTGCATTCCTCAACTGTCCTAGTGGCAGTTCTGCTGCTTTTACATCGTAAACAAACATGAGACATGAGTATTCACAAATTTATTTGCAGAGGCTTCTCATGAACAAAAGCATAAACAAAACTGAAATAAATTGTGAAGCAACAACACATGCAAAACAACCTGCCCATTAGGCTTAGGGAAAATACAAGTGCAATCCAACCTCCTGCTTCTTAGAGCCCTTTGATGGTGAATACAAATGTACTGTGGCGTTACTATAAAGCATGTGCACCCCTGTCTACAGATGTATTTCTCCTGTGGGCAACAATAAAGCAGATCTCTGTATATCTGTAGGTGTTTGACAACGTCACAAAGAGCAGGTCACCTCCAGGAGAGTTGAGGAAGGTCCCTTTGAGCTACAATAGTTGTGGGTTTTTGGCTGGCATAACTCGCTCCAAACTGTCAACATTATAAATTGATGCTTTCAAACAGAATTATCACTCACTCAGTTCGTCGAAGTGGGTCTCGATGCCGTCAGCTCCGGGCACAGAGCAGATCAGACGAGCTTTGAGGAAGGTGCTCCACTTGTTCACGAGGCAGCAGTGTCCGCCATCGTCGTTCTGTGGACACATGAACGGGTGAGCCATAACATTACGACCACAGGCAGGTGAAGTGGTGAAGCATTAGTATCTATGCAATGGAAGTTTGTTAGCATTGCTTCATCCAACCGCTTATGAAAAGAGTCTGTTCTTCTGTTACATTGTTTTTACAGGTTTTGAAATAAACATCTTGATTGAGAAAGTGATGTACTGTACAACTGTATGTATGTATGTATAGTATAGTATCACAAAAGCTAAAAAAGTATAGTCTTTGTTCCAATGTCTGTACTTAAACAATATATATATGTATACAAGGTTAAAAATATATTTCAAGTACATTCTCTTTTATAATTTTATTCAGAAAAAGAGGCAAGAGTGTCTTAATTATAGGGTTGGGTGCTATTCAGGACCACAATGAGACGGATCACTGAAACATAACAATCCCAGGGCATTCACAATATAAATAGAAGTAATTCATTGTTGAAGGGACCAGCTTATGGGACCTTCTTCATGGCGTAAAAAGAGGTAGGTTAAATAAACATCCTTGAAATAAATTAATAATTCATTCATTCAATTCAATGCAATTCAATTTTTTACTTGCATAGCCTTAAATCACCACAGTAGTTATCTCGGAGGACTGTTGAATTTGCCAACACAGATCAGAGAATCAAACAGATCAAAGGCAAGAAATGCACTGATAAAAAAAACACATAGAGCCATTGGTCCATAAGGGGCAGACGACCAATGTCCATGAATGTTGATAAATGCCCAGAAAATATTAGGAATAGCAGTCGTTCGATAACAGAAGTGAGCAGAGAAGAATTGTGTCCATAGCAGTCCTGATTATAAACAGCTGGTCATAATGTTTTGGCTGATAATTGTGTCTCATCATAAATAATCCTTTCCACGCTCCCAGCTCTCTGTCACAACTGTCCAAGGTGAGTGCTTTTGTTGGGACGGGGCGGCTCCGTTCCTGCCCAGCTCCGTGTCAGCTTGGACCACATGCATCAGCGCTCGGCCAATTCCTACATTGTTCCAGAGGTGGAGGACGGGACATGGGAAAATGATTCACGAGTTGGAACGTAACACTAATAAAGGGTCAAAATCAATTGGTCAAAAATCACGGCGTGTCTGACTTGATGTACTGTTAAATGCATTCGGATTTGCGGGCGATTCCGAGACTTTTGAAAGAGGATGAATTATGTGGGAAAAGAGGAGTCGTGCACCAAAAGATTCAGAACAAATGTGCCATGTGATACGCTCAGAGCCGGTATTAGTTCATTATTTAAACTGACGTATTGTTGGAAAGCCTGGTTATGCGCCTAATATCATTACATGCAAACTATACTTTGGCAAAAAACCAGATGCATTTAGAAACATGGTACTGGACGGACCATTAAAGCTGGGGTATCTTTTTTCTTTCTCATAAATAACACATGTTCATAACACACATGTTCTCACAGAAATATTCTTGTAAAATCAAATGTTGTAAGCAATTCCGATGTGCTGCCCTAAGCATTTTATCTTTTGCATACGGAAGAACTGAGTGAGGTTGGTCTTCTCTATTTTCACTTTTCTCTGTGAAAAAGCAGATCTAATAAATCTAGTGCTAGAACCAAACCGTGTTGAGAGAGATTATCAAGTTAGATGGATTTTGTTACATTGTTAATTTTTTGCTGTAATACTGAAGGACTAAACTGCTACAACTCCCAGAGCCGTCATTTTGACTGCTCCAATTCAAATCAAAGGAATTCTAAGAAATTCCCCACAAAAATGTTAAATTTTGCAACAGATCTATTAAAAGTAATTAATTTTCAAGTTTACAAAAAAAAAACGTTAGTCACTTTTACTAAGTGCTATAACAGTTTTTCGAAAGGTTAAATGCTAAAGACCAAATCCTAATTGCTGACTATAAACGGTGTGCTATGTTGCTATGGTAACCAGTACTCGCTCTTACAAGAAAAATTACTCAATAAGTTAATTTCTTAAAGATAATGACAGAAATAACCCAACAATTTAGCACTAAATTACTCAAGAAAGAGAAAAAGTTATGGAGACCAAAAGGGCACAAACAACGCTGTCAAAAGCTGTCAATTTGACTGCTCTGGGAGTTCAAGTGTTGAAAAAGTACAGCTTTAAGTGCATGATGGGAACTTGGGGTCAGCTCCAACTCAAAAGTGACTTAATTCTTATGTTAAAACTCTTGTTTTAAATGTAAGATAAAACCATTGAACAAGCCGATAAAAAAGGAACATCGCCTTCTCGCACAAGAGCTATCTGTGCAAAGCAGTAGATAAACACGTTCTCAAACTCCTAATCCAAAGCACCAGAAATAGACAACGACATCTAAACTGAGCCGTGGAGCCAAAACATAAAGAATGATGGCTGCGTCTGTGCGAATGTGGGGAAAAGTATAGCAATTACGCATGATGACGGGGAGCTCCTGGGGAATGACAGACACGCTAACCATTATGTAGATATGGAAATGATCACATGCGGCAGACGCACCAGGCAGATCCGGCCGATCCTCGACTGGGTCATTGGACTCTGGCCCGTCTCTGTGGCCTTCTCTCTGAAGAAAAAGTACAGCTTGTCGTCGTTCTTCTCTCCGCTGTCGGGGATGAGGTGTGCGTGGACAAAGGTTGGATCTGAACAGAGAAGAATTACAACTTTACTTACTTACTTTTAATATTTCTTTCTTAGCGTTTTACATTGACATTACAAAGAACATTTGACAGTGTTGCAGGAAGTGGAAACCATAAAAGTGGGAATGCACCGATCTAGATTTGTTATATTCGACCCTGGTCTGGATGTTTGCAGATCCTTGATATGAACCAACACCAGGGAAGGGCCTGAAATAACCTTCAAATCACAGCTAAATTATTACAAAATCTTTTCAACTAATATTCTGCAATTAACTTCAGAAAAACCTGAGTATAATTTAGAGTGTCCAAAAATATGCAACGTAAAAACCGATGTATTGTCAAAGCATGAACAGAAAGGCCTATCAGGGCAAAGTCTTAAAGGGGCCGTCTGTAATGTGCTCTTATTGGTCTGATAAAATCCTTAGAGTTACAACTTTTGTTATGATACTCTTCTTGCCTGCTCCTAAAGCACTGATTACAGGTATGCACATTACAACCTGCTGGAGTTTAGCAACTTTTTGTGTACTTTTTTGTGTGAATTGTGCTGGAAAACATCATCATTATCTCCATTGTAATTTTGATTAAGAATAACTCATAAATACTTTGTGATTTGTACATGTTTACCTATTATCTCGGGACACATATTTTCAAGTTTTACATATGGTCTCTGATATCATTAAACCAATATATGATCCAACAATAATTGCAATATCGGCAATGATATACAATACCAGAATAAAATCAAAACACAGAAATGTTTTGAAAAAAAGAAAAACTATTGCCAATGGGACTCCCAATGACAATATATTTATTCAATACTGTTGTAATAGTTGGAGTTTTCACCACGTTTCCTTCTGTAGTCGACTCATCTAACGACTGGGCATGAATATAGGCGACCACGATCATATTTGGTCGACTCCAACCCAAGTATTTACATCCAAAAACCCCACAAATGAATTGAATTAAGCTTCTCATAAAACACAAACCTCAAGCACAACGGCCTGGACGAGCACTGACCCATTATTTTCTCTTTAATGGCGTCACTCAACACTGGTCCCACAGCAGCTGACTGGATGTTAGTGGGACATTGCACAGCAGTGGGCGGCCATTCTCCCAAAGGGGCCAGACCAAATCAAGGCTAACCAGGGTCCCGTGTATGGTGCCGTGTGGGGGAGCGAGGGGGAGGGAAGAAGTCGTGCTGATTGGACAGCTGATTAGCAGGACCCAGGTGTCCCCCATTTTTCTCTTACATCAGGGGATAACTGTTGTCAGGGCAACGGGGTCAAAGCTGTGAAAAGTGAAATGATAATGACGACACTGACATTGCTGTGATTGATTGGACGACAGAAAGTTGCTAACGATCAAAAGCTGAAGCTGAATACATGGATTTCTGTTCAACCACAGCTCATTGTGTTTTATTCATTATATTTCTCCTTTTCCATTCAACGTGGGTTTAAAGTTATTTTTCCAACAATTAACTACTGATTTTCAACATTATTTCATTATTATTGAAATGTAAAACTCGACAACTCAACACACTCCCAAACTTCAAAACTTAAAACTCATCTGTTCAGACTGGCCTGTGCTCTATGACCCAACATTAACTCTTTTTGCTTTTCATCTTAATGTAATAATAGATAAAATGTATTATCATTATTATTATTAACAGCAGCGAGCGTGCTAAGTTTACTATTTACCACCAGTATAAAATGGAATATGCATATACTGCTTTTGTTGAGTTACTGAGTTTTTATGTTTTCCACGTTAAATTTAAAACGTTGAGAAAAATAAATCATGTCTTTATACGCAGTGTATGTAAAAACTGTTTTCTACTGTATGTTAGACCTTTCAAAGAAAAATGTAATTAGTAAAAAGAGTTACAAATTCCAAAAGTACTATTTGTTTATGGCAGAAACTTAAAATGAGAAATGTAATCCTAACTGTCAAAGAAATACTAACGATGGAGGGCTGCAGGATTATATTGAAATATATATATTTTGAGACTTTTCAGAGAACCATTGAATGAAGGAATGAATGATACCTTTATTACTCTCGTACATTTCTGTTATGTCACATTTTTGGCATTAAATGACAAGCAAGTTCTCATTTATAATCCTACCGTGCCTGAATCAAAGTCAGAAAAAACAGATAAAATGCACTCAAATAAAGAGTTTTTGGTGTTTGTAAAGGAAATAATGTGCAGGTAATCTAGATAATTGCAGTCTTGCAATTGGCCAAACACGACCACTAAAACTGAGATTTTGATTTGATATGCGATGAATAGTGCAAATTATAAAATGATTTAAAGGTGCAGTGAGCCATTTTGCTAGCTTAGCCGTAGCACCAACTCGACACCACTCCTCCCTCCCCTCACCTCTCCACCAAACCAAACATCCAGCATTTTCTTTTCTTTGTCACAACAGGAGAGTGGGTGGCAAACTTGAAATTGGTATTTTCTGTTCAGCCCTTTTAGGTTTTAGAAAATAATTCGATAACTCAGGTGCATGCACTCGCGAGAAACAGGAAAAGGGGGTAAACCATATTTCAAAACTCATGGTAAGTTGACTACTTTTGGGGTTTAGGGACATTTTTCCACAATATTTAAAAAAATGCGTCTGAGAAAAAAAATCACTGACTGCATATTTAAGTAAAATAAAATCCTAGAGCCACAAATGTTCTGCTATAGTCTGTAGACTGTCTGATTACTTCCCCTTTCTGCGGATGGAATTTTTAGTGCTGTGACATCCACGGTTCATTTGCGATTACAAGCTCCACTCAGAGTCATTATCGACAAGCAGTGATTAGCTACGGGCTAGTGACCCCGATGCCCCCCACCCTGCGGCTTGCACGCCATCGACAATGTTCTGCTTTGGTATCGAACGATCACCGGGTCACGTGAAACCGCCAGAGATTATCACAAAAATCTTGTTCCAGGAGGATATTCACTAACAACACTGTACATACATGGAAAAGGGTCACATTGGGCAAAGAAATGTTAAGAAAATGAAACATAATGTAAAGAAATCCTATCGATACATTTAATATTGAGGTTTAAAAAAACAAAAAAGATAGACATACTCAGGAAAAAAACAGTAATTATTTGTGTAAAAGTAAAAGTACATATTCATGGCTTTAAATTGTACAGATCTCTTAACTGGATAATAGAAGTTAGATCCTCTGCGACTGTTGTAACTTTTGCTCCATGCTCAATGTATTCATAATATTAGACTTATTACGATGACACAATTCAATTATATTCAATCACAATCGCTATGGCCCGTACAAACAATATTCCATGACCGGTAGATTCTTTCTACAACTCCTACATTCATAGTCAAACATTGGATTTGTCCCAACAGAAAGAGACTGTTGCTACATTTTGTGAATAAATCAGACCCAATGTGACCCAATGTGAAGAGGAAGACAGCATGAGAGCTGATTGGCTGAGTGAGGGTGGTCCTCTCCATTTTTACTTTTCTGTCTGAAAAAATTGTGTTCCTAAAATGTGACAGAAGCCAAAATTATAAATAAATGTGAAAACAAGTCTGAAAACAAGTGTTAGAACTGTTTAGAGAGATGAACTGTTTAGAGAGATGAAAACAAGTCTGATGTATCATATTACACAGGTACCATTTTACCAACATTTAGGAAAGAACCACCCTCTACACTCTAGACCAGAAAGAAACCAGAGAGAGACCAGAGGGAAAGACCAGAGAGAAAGACAATGAGACCAGAGAGGTAGAACAGAGAGAGAGACCAGAGAGAGACCAGAGAGGCAAGAGAAAGACCAGAGAGAAAGACCAGAGAGAGAGAGAGACCAGAGAGAGACCAGAAAGAGAGAGAAGAGAGAGACCAGAGAGAGAGACCAGAGAGAAAGAGAAGAGAGAGACCAGAGAGAGACCAGAGAGAGAGACCAGAGAGAGACCAGATAGAGACCAGAGAGAAAGACCAGACAGAAAGACCAGAGAGAGACCAATGAGAGAACATAGAGAAAGAATCTCCCAAAAAGATTCTTTGTTCGACCGCCTCTGGTCACACATCACCAGAATGATTGACAGCTGGGAGGAACAGTAGTCTTGATGATCCATCCGGATAAAAAGAATCCTCCTTAATACTGTACCTTTTTAAATTGAGCTTTGAAAGTTTCATACTCTCAGCTTTAAGCCATAAACAACAGTCAAATATTACATGAGCAAAACCATAATGTGTTTTTTTCCCCCCTGAGAGTCTATAGTGGAATATGACTTTACCGTTGAGCCATCTGGAATTGTACTGATCGGTCCTCATGGCTGTCTTCCTGCCCAGTGTGCGGAAGATGGCCGAGTCTGTTCCCATGAAATCGATGTAGACGCCGGCGTACAGCTCCCCATCTGTCATTCGCACAAACACAGAACCACAGGCCGTTGTCATGGAGGTGATGTCATGGCACAGGTTAAATCAAGAAACGTATATATACAGTATGATTGAAGGACCGGTCTCAAGTTGCCTCATCTCTCAAAGGCTGCATCCGAATGACGACGTTAATGACCCGACAATCACGGCCATTTTTGTACAACGCCAAGGTTAGTCAGGCAAACTCCCCGTTGATTTTATGTCATTGGGATTTTGTTATTTTATCATCAGGCGTGGTGATTGAGAAAACAGCTGACTGTAAAAGTAATGTTCACAGACTGACACCCACCTATGTTTTGGGTTCAAAGTCAGGCTGAATACATAGGAATAGATCATTGGAAAAAAATATATTGCTAATAAACACATATTGTATACAAAGTTTTTTGAAAAGCCAGATATATTTTATTGTTGAATATTGTAACTAGCACTTTGATTTTCCAAATTGTTCCAAAAACACTGAGATATGTTTTGGCAAATTAAATATTTGTATACTGTATGTTAAGCCAATTATGTAAAAAGACCAAAATCTGTGCCATTTTCTGGAGAAGCTTGTCATTAAGTGATGTGCTCAGTTGATGGAGACAATACAGGAGAATCTACTTTGACATTTTGGACGGTAGCAGTTCTTCACTCCTCCTTTGCTCTAGAATGTGGTGCTCAAACTCTATAGAGTTATATGGACTCTGACATGTATTATAGATCTGGATCAGTCTCTTTTATCTTGATTAACGACCACTTCTCACAACTGCTTTCTTAGGATAAAGCCTCATTCATTCTCGCACAAATATTTGTCTCATCCTTTAATAAAACCACTTTCAGCCCTCATTTGTTTATAGTAAACAAACAAACACACCGGTAATAAAATAAGATATGCATTTAGGGAGTGCACAGCAAAGGCCATGTATCGTCCGGAAATTTGAATGTGGAAACTTCATCATCACATCATATCCACAGACCAAGTTTGAGCTCAGTTCCTTCAGTAGAAACACACATGCACCATTCAGCACAAGGTCCTCCTGTGTTTCTTTTTAAAGGAACTGTAAGATTTGATTTTGGTGTTACAGTGGTATCACGGTGACGGTGGTCTCGCCTCTCAACAAGAAGGTCCTGGGTTCAACGCCCCTTATCCAATCTGGATGTGGTTTGCTACAATTGGTTCAATGGATAACTTATGTTTTCCCTACAACTAAAAACATGTAGAACAGGCTTGTTTGTATCCAGGACTCCCCAAAAAGAAATACTAAAATCTCAGCGGGATAATCCTGGTCACTAAATTATAATAAATAACTCAGTGACCTTTTATATAAAAATACTCTCATGATTATCTAACTATATCACGGATAAAAGGGACTGATTTCTTTATTTATTTCACTAAAGAAATTCTATCCTGACACAGACACATATGCAGTCAAAAGTGTAATTTGTATAGATTTCAACCTCATGGACCTGTGTGTGTGCGTGTGCTTGTGTGTGTGCGCGAGTGTATGCTCTGCTGTTTGTGAAAAAAAAAAAATAACATGGACAAAGGGTTTGAAAAAAGCCTGTAACAAGCAAAATCCACCTGCTCCAGAGGTGAACAACACAAAGGTTAAAAATGCGGCTCTGGTCGTAAGTGTCATGCACGTACTTAAGGTTAAAGTGAATTCTCCACATGCAGGACCACCCAAAGGACAAGGGCAAACACAACACAGCCCCGCTAAAACACTGGGTGTATTATTACACGGAGGAATTTGTTTTCATCAAAACCTGAATGCAGTAGAATGGCAAGGCACGGAAACGTAACCACATCGCTGGGTTTCATGTGACGGCACGATATTGTTTGGGTTCATTTTGGAATTAATAACACATGTTTTGAAAGAATAATATCCCCATGAGAGAATAACATTCAATGGACAACAGTATGTTTGCAAAATTGAATACGTAAAAAGTGAATGCATATAACACTAACATTTTCAAACTGCAAGAACTCCCAGAGCCCTCATTTTGACTGCTCCCATTCAAACCAATGGAAATCTGAGAAATTCCACCAAAGAATGCTTCCTTTTTTACCAGATTCATTAAATAAAAGTACTGTAATTTATAAGGTGTTTATCTCAACTCACTTTTAATAAATCTGGTCACTATAACTGCAACTGAAATATAGCAAAAAAAGGCTAATGCTAACTTCTGCTATGGTTACTAGCGCTTGATTTTTTTCTTGTTGAAAATGAGTTAAAGTTAAAACTCCTCATATTTCCAAAGTAATATCAAATTTCATGTATTGACATAGAAGTAAACTCCAAATAGAAACAGAAAAAGTCACTAATTTCTGAAGACCTGCATGTTTGTTTTTAATCAAATTCTTTATTCGTATTTTGTTATATTTATGAAGACTTGAGGCGCTTTGTGAAGCCTTGTGTTGGAAAGGCGCTTTAGTGTGTTTTATTGATTGATATGAAATGAGTAATTACACTTTCAAAACGAAAAGCCGTCGAATGGACTGCTCTGGTAGTTCTAGTGCTAAATCCTTTGAGTCTCAATAGTAGTTTAATCATCCATCCATCCATTTTTCTTGCCCTTAGTCCATTTCTGAGTCTGGGTGGGTTGGGGGTGGCCGTCAGAGATGCCACCCTATTCACAGAGCACCAACCGACTCGTTTCAACACTAAACTAAATATTTCACTGTCTCTCAAATGCTTCAGTAACAAACAGTGCACTCGTGTTTTTACATGTGGCAAAACAATAAATCTTCCTTATAACTCTGGGACACGTCTAAATCACTTTTTTTTCTTCTATTATTTTTCTTGGTGAGCGATCAAGTTCTGGGTTTGTAAAAACAATGATTATATTATCACGTCACGGTGGAGACGTTTTACGACTCAGACAAGTGGTTTTGGCTTCGGGGCACAGGCAAACTCTATAATGACTGTATTGAATAGAGCACAAGTAAATACTGTATGTGATGGTGAACCGGGCGAAGGAGAAGGTACTCACTGATCAAAGCTGAGACACTGTTGAGCTTCGGGTCGTACGGACATTTTCCTTTACCCGAATCCACTTTTCCGGGTTCCAGTCTGAATATGTACTCCTGCCAAATGAGGGTAAACAAGTGTTACTATTATGCTGTGTTTATTAGTTTTATTCTCAGCGTCGGAAGGCACTGAATGTGATGATACGGCAACAAGTGATAAATGGAAGTCAGGGACGACATGTGATCCTAAAGGCACTGAATCTTTCTTCTAAAGGGGAATAAAAACATTTCAGTTATCAGAGATGCGGAAGAAAAAAACCATCAAACTCATTCGGCATGCGTTTGAAGTTAGTGTTTTGTAAAGGAACTGATATGCTTAGTGTGAATAAAAGAGCATGGCTGAGTTTGTCTATGTTTGATGTGAGTTTGTCTGGGATTTTTAAGAAAACGAGGAAACAAGAGAAGACGACGAAAACAACATAAAAGCAGTCTGCAAAAAGGCAAGTGAGATGAATGATTATTACCCACAAACTAAATTATCCAACGTCAAAGGTAATAGTCTCTGTTCTGGGCAGGTATCACTTTTATTGCTGAAAAGATGCGTAGGAACATGACGGCCATAATAAAGAAAGGTTTTGTTTTAATTTCAAATACACTTCATACAATTAATATTCTGAGTGTTTAGCACATACTGGATATAAAAATGTATAACTAACCTTGTATATAAAACCAGGGGTCTACTGCAAAGATTTCAGATTTCTTACATGAACTAATAATGCATAGTGAATATTTGCTATATTTCCCTTTTTATATTATTTTTTTTATTCATTTATTTGACAGGGACATCACAAGTCAACATAGAACAAAACAAGCTTGTAACTGATGCGATTATGATCTTAAAAACGTACCTATATACACTGTTTAAATCATTTACACACACAAACTCAGTGCTATGTATATGTGTGTAGAATCTATATAAAATTAATATCTGAGCCCCCCCCTTAAAAAAGTAATAACATTATGGAAGTATTTGAAGTCCACCTTGGCCTCCATGGGCTCTGCTGTGGTGCCGAGGTCTGCTGCTCGACTGGTCCTTCCTCCAGACTGCAGCGGCTGTAGGAACTGGGAACCCTAAAACACACGGGACAGAGGGACCACGCCATTACTGACACGGGACCCCCCACAACAGATGCACCGAACCCCGACATCGCGCCGACAAGGCCAAAAGAAACATGAAGCAGTGGAAAAAGAAGTAAATGAAAGTTGGAACAAAACGGACCAGAGACAAGTTTGTTTAGAAGGAGTTAGAAAAGAGTCGTGCAAACAGCTGGAAACTCATGCCAAACATGCAACTGTGGAAAAGAAACAAGATTTAAACAATAACAATGAACAGAGAACATAAAGTAAAAAGATGGATGAAGCAACAGCACTGATAAACAGAATAGAATGTGTTCATATTGGCTTTCACTTTAGTTCAGGGATAAATGCTCCAGACGCACACCAATCAACACCGACAGATGTTGGCTTAAGTTTTATCTTAGTAAAAAAAAAATTAAAAACGTAGATAGGCAGCTATAAGGCAGAGGTACATACAGTAATTTTCATATTTCTATCCAGTGATAGCTCAAGGATTCGATTCTTTAAATGCGGTCTAAATTCACTGACATCCCAGAGCAATGTTTATTCCAATAATGCATCTACATCTACTGGGATTTTTGGATTCAGATTAGGATTCTTTTTCATTTTCTATTTGTAGTGAAACCACACAGGAATACATCTGCAAAAGTTCAGTGTGCACCAGACAAGTACATAAATAAAACAAGCTAAAAAATTGCAAGACAAAAAAAGCCACTGTGAATTCGATCAACAAAAGCAGTTTCAATACAGGTGCAAGATCATAAGGTGTCCTGCTGTTCTATAACTGATAATGCAACACTGAAATTTTCCCACTGCGGAACTAAAAAAGAATCACTTAATCTTAATCTTAATCTTTGTTCAACTGATATAGAGGAAAGAAGCTGTTATCAAACCGACCAATCTTCTACCAGAGGGAAGAAGCTGGAACATGGCTTTTCCAGGGTGACCAGAAGATTAAGAGTCATTATCAAAAGTGGTAAAAGAGCTACAACACTTTTTTGATTTTGTAAACTTTATAAAATGGGGTTCTAGTATTGAGCCCCTTCAAAAGAGAGTTTAAAATGTTTTCATTGTGACACCAACGCTCACGGCTCCTGGCTCTGCACACGGCGATGCCACATAGCAGTTTCGGGGGAGACGCTGAATGACAAGAAGAGCTTTGACCTTTGCATTGAAACCGGATCTGTCCATTTGAATGGTGAGCCGACACAGACGCAGTGTGGACGAGGGCGGGCGGCAGCTGCAGGGGTCCGAGGGGCCGAGTACAAGGCTGATGATGGATGAGAGGCTCTATCAGCAGAGAAGGGCTTTACACGCGACGGACTACAGGCTCACCGTGCCAACAGGTGGAGGGGGGTGTGTTTTAACTGTTTACCCTTGGCTCGAGCACGTCTGTTGATTTCATGGGACGTCATAACATCATATAATATAAAACATGTGTCTGTGTGATGGCGGTTATATTGTTCAAGGATCCAAGAGGCATGAGATTAGATAAATGACTGCAAATTGGAACAGGCTAGCTCAATGAAGCCTAATAAGTAATTGAATTTGTGGATTTTGTATTCTTTTTTTAAACTCCTCTAGACTATTAACCGTTTGTTACACTCCCCATTCAGGGCTTAAAAAAACACATGTTGTATATAGTCACAAGAATCAAGATATGAGCCCTAACAACTGGGCCTTCTGTCTTCTAAATTGGTTTTAGTTCACAAAAAACACGAGAGGGAACAGACCAGTGCCTTTTCTGATTGGCTTCTTGGTTTCTAGGTTGTTGCTACTCATATATGTGGCTCTAGATACCTGCTCATGAAGCCTGTTTGAGCTCTGATCTTCTGAAAATGGCAAACAATATGGGTGAGATCAGGTTAGTCTAGTCTTTCTACAGTCTATGGTTTACTATCGGGACTACCTCACATGACTCTCATTAGACTGTTTTTCATTATGCCTTGAAATAGAGCGAAGAAGCCAAAAAATCTGTCTCATCATGCCACATCCATATCTGCCTGGCACCAAATGTTGGTTTTGATGAATTACAAAAAAAGAGTTTTGTTTTACCCCTCCGCAAGCAACATTCACATTTTTGCATGAGGACCTTTAATATATGCTGTTTATATGTTATTAACAACAGTCAATCCTAATAACCTGGGTGTGTTTTGAAGTGTAAATTGAAGCGTCTGCATAAGATAACAAGTGATACGGCTCTTGGTCTGCGCCGTTGAGCAACACACCTCTCCTTCCACTTGTGTTTTGTGTAAGGATCAAGAATTTGAGAAACTTTTCACTTTTGGACTTGGCGGAAAGTGAACATATGTTGAAGGATAGTTTGTTCCTTTAAATGTATAACTTATGAGAGCTTCTTTTTGTTGTACTTTGTAGTGTTTTGCACACCATGGTACTGTATCTTTGCCTTTTTGTCTGTCAAAAAAAACAAAACATTACATTCTTTAACATTTACACCTGGTTTGTTTTGCATCCCATTCCCCTTCCAGAGCTGGATTTGGGTTTGCAACAATCTGTACTAGCATTGAGCGGTCGTCTTGTCCATGTTTAGTCACATAAATTTAGAGTAGTAAAATTGACGCTACCCTTAAGAAGCACTATATCATCTGTGATTACACTTTTACCTTATACAATCAACTGTGGTGGATACATAACAAAAGTCTTTTAGACAGACATATGCTGAGATTATTAATGCAACCACCTCATTTCTATTCCCCAATAACATGATTCCTCAGGACATCCCCACCCAGCGCTTCTCTCCAATGAGAGATTTGAGTCTCTGATTTGTGGCATACAGGTCCATCACCAACTGCAATTTTACACCAATAATTGAACTCCAGAAAGGAAAGGTTTTCTCATAGACCTTCAGACCGCAAACTTGAATGAATCGATGAAAGCCAAGAAGCAGAAAATGAAGAGGAGACGCAGAGAGAGGAAGAGAGATCGAGAGAGAGAGAGAGGCCGTCTGACCCAAGATTGATTGACAGATATGATTGTTGTGGAAGAGGGCGATAAGGTCATTCCTGGTTTCTAGGGTTACCTGAGACCTGCGCCCGCGGTCCACGTAGGTGCAGATGGGGTTGTAGGCTCCGGTGCCGCACACGTACAGATGAGTGCGGTTCCACGGCTCGATCAGACGGATGAAGTTTCCACATTCTCCCTGAAAAACACAAGAGCAATATGTTCTTCAGCCAAGCAGACAGAGGCATCTTAATTGTTGCTTATTGCTCAGCTCTAATTGCAGGAAGTTTCTCTTGATTAGAGGAACATCAGTACAGGCTGGAGTTTATACAAGCCCAGATTGAAGAGCAGCCATACAACAGAGGCATTAGTGCAATGGGATACAATGGTATTTCATTATTACTGGGAAATAATTATATGTACTTGAGGGAGATTTATTTAAAAAGTTCATGCTTGAATTAAGAAGTATTTTTCTTGGTTGGAGTATTTTCTGTTATGGTAATCTATAGTTTGACACATGCTCTAATGGTACTTTAATACACATAACTTTAGATATTGTTTGGTCTGCCTTTGGAAACGGTTGAATAACACTAGAAGGTCAAATTAACGAGAGAATAAAATAATGTGAGACGATTTGCGCTTGTAAAATGTTCTATGTAAAACACTGTGATGAGAATGGCTTGCGTTGTTGATAATAAATGCTGTAGAGTTTCAGCTGGTGATGGCCATGTGATTGTTATAAATGAAAAAAGGCAAATTGCTGCATACTTATTTCTATTTTGATTATTTTTGCAATGGATTTTATCTGCTTCACATAAAATGTCTTAAACTCTGGTGCCTAAAGGGCTATAACATGAGAAAAAACACTGCTTAAACACATATTACTTGTTATTGCATGCTCCTTAAGGCCAAAACAAATGCCTATAGACTGACAAGAGCAATGAAAAAGATTCTCATATGAAATGTACACGAGTAAAGAGACGGTTAATTCAATATATTTACTCTACATTTACAGTATATATAAAAAGAATAAACAACGGAAAAGACTTCATAAAATGCCCTGGTGGCAAACGGCCCTCATTCTGGCTCAGCCCCAGCCCACGGTCCCGCTGCTGCCTGCGTTGTGTTTGGCAGCTGGACCCTTGGCTCCAGCCTCAGAACCACACTGTCAATGTTTCCCAACACCAAACTGCGCGCCCAAGAAAAGCACTGGGCCTCTGCCTCGTCCACATTTTACACCACCTCAACCTTATGTCAGCGTCAACAGCGGAAAACCATTTGGATTTAACAGATTTAAAGTGAGGGTGGTTTCAAATATTAAGCCTGACTAGTTTGGTCAAATGTGTCTTGAGGCCGATCCACACTTATTGGATAATTGGACTCAGGTCACATCAGAAGACTTTGCACCAGTCTTCATGAAGTCAAACTGTTTCATGGGACTATAGTGGACCAGTGTGCACTTGTTTAAAGCTTTCACATGTCCAAAACTCAAGCATAATTTTCCACAAGTGAATCAGAATTAGTATCACCGAGTGAACCTGCAGGAGCAAAGAGTGAACGCACGGTTAATGAACCAAAATATGTTGAAAATTGAGTTATTCCGAGCCAGCAGGAGAATTAGACAGCTCGGTGTGGCTTTGGTCGACTTCATTCCTGAAAATAACTTCATTCCTAGAAATAAATAGGAATGTTGATGTCTTTTTAATTGATTTGGTGATTCGAAAATGTGGTGATTATGGAAAGCAAATGAAATGCTTTATTCTATTATACTTTTATGTTAAATGTAGAGTGATTATTTATGCTTATTTTAATGCCTTCATGAGTTCTATCTTGCTCAGCACCTTAGGTTGTATGAACTGTGCTATAAAAAAAAAACTTGCCTTGCCTTTTTTTGAGGATGACTTTGTACTTTATGTAAGCTTTAGATCCCAAACTTTGACGAAAGATTTCTCTCAAACGCAACAACAGAGCAAAGTGGTTGGAAAATTAAGGAAGTAGATTAACAATTTCATAAAAACAAAAATCTTAAATCATACCATTCATAAAACAAAACCAAACCAAACCGGAGAACAAAAACAGAAAAACACGAGCAAAATCTATTACACATTCAGCCTTCCTAAAAAAAGATTTAGAGTAAATATGGGAGACAAAACCGGTGCACTTTCTAAGAACCTGTGGTAAAAACAACTTTATAATCCACATTTATCCGTCCAGCTGTCGGTTTATTTTCTCAATCTCCCCGAGCTCTAAAACTGGAAAACTGCTCCACTTCCACTGGTAATATGTTTGCTGATTCGTCCATCATATGTGCTGCTTGTGACAGCTGGTGTTGAAGAAAGCATGTACTGTCATAAAAGAGATTGTGCTCAGAACTTGGGGGCAGGAGGGGCGGGAGAGGGGAGACGTTTTGGCAGATCGGAGCCGAGCGACAGATGCATCCTGGTCAGAGGTTTTGGGGCTAGTGCGTTTGGTGTGCATCTTGTATTATTCATTGCCCCAAGAGAGAGAGAGAGAGAAAGAGACAGAGAGAAAGAGCGCACACACAGGATGATTGCCTTTGACCTCCTAGATCCCTCTCCAATTGACATCATCTGTCATTCCCTAAAGAGCGACTACGATTGCCAACGCGTCTTTTTGAAGCCAATTTCATATTTTTGTGATGAAATTTCAAACTGGGGTGTCCATAACAGGTCTCGGTACACGGGCAATATGATGTAGCCGGAGGTGGGAGAGGTTCCATATAAACACAAACTAATGTATAAACCAGTTGGACGGGTATTGGAGACCGAATCAGATGGATCACACCTCATAATTTGTGAGACCTGTTTTTGTATGAATACTAATGCATTCATTTATATGCATTGAAAAGGGGTTTTTGTTACAATCACTAAGACCGGATTGAAAAAGGATAATCTGTAGCTGAACTATGAATTTAGGTTAAATTACTTGTATGTTTACAAAGCACAAATAAACTCCTGCATCCCTCACCTGCTCTGGATTGCATTGGGTTGAGCAAAGTGCATGTCTCTTTGAATATATCTTCCACACTTGCAAAAGAGAAGTCATACTTTTGAGCAGTTTTAGGACATTCATTTTCATGTAACAGCAGCCAAAAACACCATTGGACATGGCTTGCTGTACATTGTTATCCTTAATATTAAACCTCAAACGGCCTTTCACATTTGGCAAATAATATTTCTATTAGATTATGTTCTCAGAGGGGGTTTAGGACAGAGGAAAACTAAAACTTTCTATTGCATACTTACATTGGTGTCTTTTCCTGACAACACACACTCCATCCTCCTCTGCTGAGCCACAGGCCAATGGATCTACAGCAAAAGTAGTAAATAAAAAGCGGTTAGCAATGCAAAAAAAAAAATCTATGAAATCCAACCGTCTCAGTGTGTAATTCCTCACTATGAGCGGCTCCTTGTTGATGTCGTGCAGGTCCAGAGACAGGATGTAGTCTTTGCTGCCCACATACATGCGGTCGTGGTCCTCGTCCATGCGCAGTATCCGATAGTCCGTTGAGTTGAGCAGGAAGGAGAAGTGGTGAGCTGTGCCAGTGGACTTAAGTTCTGTGGGAAAAAAAACAGTAATAATTAGGACACAATAGTTCATTTTATTCATGGAAGAAAACGTTTTTTCGGAACACTTCCTGGTAAATGTATTAGGGCTGGGAATTGGCGAAAATATGATGATTCAATACTATTGCAATATTTTGGGCCATATTTTTCGGTACAGCCGGTATCGGGGTACCGCCAGTATTGCTCAACTTGAATGTGACATTTATTATGGTCCGTACAAAAACTTAAGAGGGTAGTGCAAAAATCCTTGAACATTCAGCCCACAGGACCTTATTGCATAATTATTCTCTGAACAGACAACCTCTGCATGAATGATACGCTCCCAGGACATCACTTTCATTATTCAAATACAATAGACTAGAGTCACAAAAGGCAGACATAATAGAGTAACATAAACCTCAGATATAAATTATCAGAGTAAACTCAGAGTATACTCTGAGAAAACACAAAAGTTAAACATCTCAATACTTTGCTCTACAATGAGATGCATGAGCTAGCACAAGGGTTTTCTCATCATCAATTAGTCTTTTGACACAATAAACTGACTCAATGTACCAATGTTGATTGTTTTAGCTAGATAAAGTAATTTGACACATGAACTGTGATAAAGTTGATAGTGTCACCCGGCCAACTTCAGCTCCGCCAATATACTTCTCGGTCATTTCATTGACTATGCCAATATTTGTGATCTTTGCCCCAAGATCATGTACTGTATATGATGCTAATGTAGTTAGTGAAGTAGTGAAGTAAAAATGTATTTTCCAGCCAACTCCATGTCACACCTAAAAAGATAATTATAAAATGACATAATAATATCATCATAACCACAATTCCCCTGCTTTCTCTCAATATAAACAACAAAGTGTAGCAACTAATAAAAAACATGTAACTACAAAGGGGCATTAAAGTGCAGACAATAGACCATCGACATCACATAAAGTTAGGACCCAAGTTTGGATTGGCATTTTAGAGCCACAAGGCACTTTTAATAAATGGAACTTGGCTGAACCCCAAAAAATACTGTGTTACACCCATTTTTTCTGGAAAGACTCAGAATATTATTTGATATCGCTGCTTTTTATATTGTGACAGAAAAAGACTTTGACATAATCCTCCCTTGCAAGACCACTGACTTAATATCACATTAAGCCGTTTCTGTGCGCTGCTGTTTAATGGGAAAAGCAGAAATGGAGGTGTTTGGTGGGTGTTGAAACAGCTCTCCTCCTGGTTGTCCCATTAACTCCACATTATGTTTTCGGATTGCGCTTGGGAAAGTGCAACCTGAGATAGCGGCAGTAGTTCCAGCAGAGAAATTCATAACGCCTGATAAAGGATCCGTGCCTGATACAAACTGAATATAAAACAGATAATCTCTTAAAAACACATCGCACAACCTGTTTCAATCCAACGGAAAGTGTGAAGAGACATTTTCCACAGGTGAACGTTGAAATAGGGAGTGAATCTTGAGAGAATGTAAGCCTAGAAACTGTGAAATATTTCAATCGTGCCACAATGTTACTGCAATGATGAGGATAAACTGGATGAGCTGTTATTTCTTCAGTGTTTGCCATGGCCACCCAAGACTTTCCCCACTATAAAAACACATCGGGACTCCTATAGCAACTACATACATTCAAATACACAGGATCGACCAATGAAAGATTGACCAATCCCGAAACCACCAAGTAAACACAGTCAGACACAGCTGAATTAATCAACACAGAATCATACTTTGATAATCGTGTAATCATTGAATATTAAAAACACAAACAAATAGGAAGAAAATGGTCGCTTAAGTGAACGATACAAGGCTCACAATCTGATATTATTACTACTTCCTTATATGTGATGATATACCCATTTTGTATGCAATTTAACTAGAACCAAAGATGATTTTTTTTTTAATTTTATTGTCAAATCTTTCATCATCAAAACAGTTGTCACATACACCAAAAAAGGCGCAGCAATAGAAAATACGTCCTGATAATTTATCAATACTGTAGAAGAAATACAGTACATACCTCAAATGATAGTGGCTTAATTATTATACCAAAATGTCCGCAAAATTGAAAATATTGATTAGTAAAAGCATACCACTAATTAACTTACGACTGAAACTTACTAAAATCTCCTTAATGGCGACCCTGCTCCCATCCCAGTGTGGGAAATACTGTAGGCCCACTACAACTGTAAAGCGTTTTAGGTCTCAGTCTGTAAAAGATGCTATATAAATTAAGATTACTTTCCTACAATAACACAAAACTAAACATCCTGATTGAAATGACTAAAAACTAGATCGAAGTAGTGTAACATTCAATTGATAATTTGGTTTTTATGGGCCAGCTTGATCATGTGTTTGGGGTAGGGCGATATGGCAAAAAAGTAAACTCTCGATTTTATATCCTGCTTTGGACGATTTCGATTTTAAATTGATTTTCATTAAAGTCACAAAGACAGACTTTGCCGTTAAAAATAATCAAGTTTCAAAACTATTTTTAATTTGTTTCCCCCAATACATATTATAAAAATCTATTACAGACCCTGCTGATGTTTTAAGTACCATTAATCTCTCTCTCTCACGCTAATTCTGGTACATTTACATTGATGCTTTTGGCTGACGTGTTGATTAATGTGCACTGTCCTAATTCAAATAAATAAATAAATAAAAATAAAATGTGCTGCTGGAACTCTCACAATATCCTTCATTCGATTTCACGATTTTCACATTTTTCACAAATTCAATTTTTTCAAAAGACGATTAATTGCCTAAATTTGATTTATTGCCCAGCCCTAGTTTGGGGTTATATGTGGATAATGTATACACTTTTCATATCAATGGACCTTTCCCAACAATGTATCCAGTAAAAACCCTGTGATGCTAATTCTGTTGGGCTCTATCTTACAATAAGTTCAATGTGTAGGCAAGCATAATTGTGGCATTGAGGCAACATTACTTCTCTGTTTTATTAGCCGTAAACACCTGTATATTTACTCTGTTTCTATTGATTGCATAGTGAAAGAATGTTGAGAGTTGAAAAATAAAGTCCATGGCTGATTATTGCTTCTTCTTATATTTCTTGAAGCTCATACCATTCTAAGTAGTCTCAGCGTCAACATGTAGCGCAATATGTCTCTTGCCAAATCATGCTTGAAAATGACAGGCATAAAGAGTGTGTCTATTTGTGGATCGGGCTTGTAATAATTCTTGTGACATCAAAGACTCAGCCGTTCACCCAACACCGTCCAATCCAGACGGAGATCTCAGACAGCCAGGACCCAGACTTGCCCACATTTGTCACCTCCACACTCACATTCTCACTTTGAACAGGAGTCTGCAGCTCAGGTCACGGCGCAAAAGCACTGCATTTACAATTAAACACTCGTCACAACACGTTATCGGAGAGGGCCGAGGAGCAGAGAGGGCTGTCACCATACTCTCCTTAACTCGTCCTTCAGTCAGACTGGTTTGATCAATACAGCGTTTATCTGGACCTTACAGACTGACGTGAAGTGACAGAAAGCTACATCAGGTTTTGAAGGTCTGTCACGGTAATCACGACGTTGACTTCTATTCTCATCATTGTTATCGATCGTAATCATTTATTTTATTTATTGTCTGTCAAAATTAGTTATGGTGTCACGTCTAAGTAAAAGGCCATGGCCTCCTGCCTCCTCTTCACAACAATCTTCTTGCAAATATGAAGCGTCTTCTCTGACAATGTTCAAATCCAGGATAAAAACAGTTAAATGAGCACAAACAGTTTGCATTCAGGAGCTACTTTTAAATGAATGTTTGCATCAAATTCTAGTTAAATGCCGGAAAACTTTTCCCCTTTAGGTGTGTTTTCATTATGGTCCTGACAACGGTTGCTAAGGAGCCTTTGCTGGCTCTAATTGGCTGAAGTCCATTTTCTCAAACCTATTTTTGAGAGAAGACAAATATATATGTATTTTCTTAGTTGAGAATGTGAGTAATTTAGATAGATAGATCATTCTAATAAGCTAACAATAGTAGTAATAACAATAATAATAGTAACAATAACAATAATAACAAGACCTGCTTCATGACTTCCACTGATGTCTGCTGTCGTTGTGTCCTTGGGCAAGACACTTAACCCAACTTTGCCTGAAGCTCCCACTGAAAGATCAAGGCTCCTGTGGACTCACCACCTGCAGGAGGATCAGTGAGGGGCTGGTGCTCTGTGAACTGGGTGCAGCTCTGACTGCAACCCCCCCCAACCCAGAAATGGATTTAGGGGAAGAAAATGGATGGATGGATAATAAAAATAATAGTAATAATATTAATAATAATTATTAAGTAATTTGGCCACGGTATAAGCAGATTAAACACTTACAGTACTAAAGAATTACTCATAGTCCTTTCAGAATTATTGCACAATGTTAAAACGCCAGCAAATTATATGCTTAATATGATGTGTCAAGGAAAGAGTGAAACCACAAAAACACAGCACAAAAGGGGGCTGGAAACATTTATACAAAATAATACTTTGATGGACTCTGGCTCCAAATCAAATGACTTTACTGATATGTTTGGTTTGACTTGGCCTCAAATCACATAATTACAGAGTTTATAGGAATAGAAGTTTCTCATTATCAGAAATTGGGCAATTTAACATAATTGTAAAAAACACATTTGAAAACGTATTTTGTTTTTTTTCCAAATTAGCCGACCACCGAGAAACCATTACCAATATGAATAGATTTTTAAGTACACAATGGGCAGCTTTCATCGCTCATCAAAGACACTGGGCCATTTAATGAATAAAATTAACATTTCATAATTAAAGCCAGAGAAAAAATGTCAACAATCCAAAGCATGGCAGGCTAAAACACATTTTCTTTTGCCTTGTGCCTGTGGCGTGTTGAGATAAGGACTAAAGGTATGATAACAGCCCACCTCCAAGCTCGCTGATAGCTGATCTCGCTGTCAGCACCGCAACTCATCCCTTCAAACGCATTCCTGCTGCTCC